GCTGTTGGGCCCAGAGGCCTGGCCGCCCCAGGAAGCACTGCTTCATAGAGATGGGGGAAAAATGAAAAATCACAGAATTAAACGCCTAAACGGGCACAAAGGCCCCCGAAAAGATGCCTCCAAGCTATTTTCTAAATTGCCCACCAAAGCCTGCGTGAGTCAAGCAACTATTGACTAAGTCTCGGCGGCCATCAAGACTTATTGATCTGAGAGGTAAATATTGACCAGCGTGAGCCGGGGTCGATGCTGCCTCCTGGGAAAATAAATCTCAGTTTAACTAAAACCTCAGGCGAGGCCTGGACTGCTGCTCGGACCGAGGCCCGGCTCCGGCCAGCGCCTCCCTGATTGTGCTTTGTAGTAACTGCAAACTAGTTCCCAAACTCACTCGTTTCTTGTTTGGTGGAGAAATGTTAAGTCTTTTCATATCTGAAATGATCAGGGGACAGTTTGGAATTTAAAATACTATTATTGGGAGCACGTCCATAAAACGGAGAATCTTTCTGAAATGCAATAGAACTGCCCAGGACTTAGTTCCCGTGAAAAATCTCCAGCACAAACAAACACACAAACAAAACAGTCAACAAGGAAACCTGTGGTCAGGACCAGTGCCATCTCCGAAAATGCTGTGGAGGCCGCTGTTTCCAAGCGGCCAGAACTGCCGAGGCAGCATCCCGTGCCCTTATTTAACGGATCGATGATCGGTGGGGACCACCTGGCGGTGGACGACAGAAAGGGATCCATCCAAGACTGATGGCTCCGCAAAGGGCGGTCCACGGGCGGCACTGTGGCCACCGAGAGGGAGTCCCGCCCTGTGAGTCATAGGAACTCACTTTTCCTAAACAGTGTGTCCTCACACGCAGAGCTAGGGCGGGAGCAGGGCTTATTGTGAGGGTCAAATACGATGCCGAGCAAAGAGCACTCTTTTGGACAGACCCCCGGGTACGGCAACAGAACTTCAATAAGCAGCTGCTGCTGTTATTACTGTGGGAAGAGCTGGATAGAAACAGCGGGTCCTTAAGCTACTCAGGGAGGATGGAAGGTGGAAACATTTACAAGGCGCAGTCACTCTTGAGGTTGTTGATAAATATCCGAATTAAGAATGAAAGATCTGAAAGGTACACGCATGCCCACACTGACCTGCGGTGGCTGCGTAGTGAGAGGCGAGTGAGCTCAGCCTGTCCATCTCGGGGAGACTGAGTCTCAGGTGGGATGCGGGGTGCTCGCAGGCAGGAGAGCTGGCACAGGGAAAGGTGTCCTTGTGTTCAGCTCGCCCCCCGAAGGCCTGCGGGAGCGAGCTCTGCTGGAACCAGGGAGAACTCTGGCGCTGCACTCAGGGATGAGTGTGGCCAACAGAGCGGAACTGCTGAAGAATTTTTGATGTGAACCAAATGGAATCACACTGTCTGAGCCCACAATGCACTGTGGGCCAAAAGGCTGCCTTTGGAAAACAGGTGAGCCAGTTTCTCCAACAGAAGTGAGAGGGGGTACCTGGGCACAGAGCGGCAAGAATGGGGCAAGGCTGAGCCACCGAGGACATCAGCAGGGTACAGAGACCCAGACTCCACTCAGAGGCAAACCCTCCAAGGAGCTGGTTCACACTTTACATTCCGGTTCAGAAGGACCCAGGTTCAAGTCTGCCTGCCGCCCTCAGCTGCTGACCTTCCGTAAGTCACCCGCCTCTCACTGTCGCCACTTGCAAAAGCAGACGGCAGGACCGACTGCGCAGAGCTGGTATGTGGCATCACTGACACTCCCATCTGCTGGGCACTGCGCTGGGCGTGGGCATGCAGCCCCGGCCACAGGCATGCTCCCTGCCTTCGCAGACTTTGCATTCTGGTAGGAAAGAGAGGCAGTGAGCAGGTAAAAATGTATGTTCGTGAGGGCACCTCTGCAGGGCGAGCCATCAGCGGCGGCGTGTTTTACGCAGGATCTCCAAAAGCTTCTGCACTGGGGTGCGTGAATAGAGACCCGAGGGGGTGAGTGATAAGCCACAGGTGGAGGGCAGGAAGGAAGAGCGGACAGCGGCTGCAAAGGCCCTTGCAAACCTTTTGGGTTGTTTAAGGACTAGCAGGGAGGCCAGTGTGGCCGGAGGGGGAGGGGAAGGGAGTGGTAGTAAAAATTATGTCCGAGAGGTAATGGGGTCTAGACCGCATAGGGCCGTGCTGTCCGATGCGGCAGCCTCCAGCCACATGTGGCTCCTCAGCACCTGGAACGTGGCTCCGCCCTGAGTGCAGCACGTGGAATACACACACTGGGTTCTGAAGATTTAGTTGAACAAAGCATGTAAGTGTTTCATTAATAATTTTATGTTGATTATATGTTTGAATGAATATTTTTGAGGTATTGGGATAAATAAGCCATATTATTAAAATTGGTTTCATCTGTTTCTTTTCACGTCTTTATCTCGCCACTAGAACATGTGAATTACATATGTGGCTTACATGACACAGGGGTTGTAGGTCACGGTAGGAGCTGGGCGTTTATCTTGAACAATATGTGATGTGAATAGGTATGCACCTAACACACCCAGCATGTTTCCCAGAACATAGTGGGAAAGTTTACAAACTAAATTTCCCTCAAGGCAAATTGCTCAGATGTAAAGGCAAAGGAAGATGAGGGGGAAGACACTGAACTCCAGGAAGAGTAAAAGCTAAGTTGAAACAGTTGATTACAATGTAGTGCTAAGACCAATGAAACTAGCAAAGATTATTGAAATATAAAACAAAGTAAAATAAAAAAGAATCTGACAAACAGATACAACTGGATCATTCCTAAATTCCAAAGGGACCAGAGAAAAACAGGCATAAAAAATGCAAGTATTTCATGTCAGTCATCCTGGGGGAGTGAACTGCTTCATGCTTTTCACCTGCGTCTCCGCGATGCCAATGAGGTGAAATCATTTTCACGAGCTTATTGGTATTTGTACCTCTGCTGTATGACGTGCACGTTTCAGACTCCCCCTGTGTTTTGTGACGCTGTCACTTCTTCTTGCTTCATAGGTGTCGTGTACTCCGTGGTAGACAGTCCTTTGTCAGACGTACGGAGGACAGATCCGCCCGCCCAGTCTCTGGCCTGTCTTTTCATTCTTGTATTCACAGCTTTAATCAGAATAGACCTTCTAAATTCCAACATAATCCAAATGTTTTAATCTTTTCTTTTATGTCTTGTTTAAAAAACCTTTGCCTACCCTGACTTTCGGGAGATATGCTATCTTTAGGAAGCTTTATTTTTCCTTCAGTCTCTGCTCCTTCTCTAGTCTTGTGTGTGGTGTGAGGGAGGGGCTCTGGATCTCCGTCGTTTACTAGTAGATGGTCCAAGAGGCCCATTACCTCACACTGGAAAGATAACCCTCCTAACCACACTGTGATGCCACTTCTGTATAAATCAAGTGAGGACAAACATGTAGATCGGTTTGGAGTTCTTGATTCTGTTCCTTTGGTCTATTTGTCTACCTTTGTGCTATCACCACACTAAATTACTGTGCTTTAATGTAAATCTTTGGAGTTGGTATTTAACTTCTCCACTTTGTCCTTTTTCCTTCAAGAATAGCTTGGCCCTTGGCAGGACATACACGTTTTAGAATAGCTTTGCAAGCTTCTCTCCCTCTCTCTCCTGCACAACCGATGAACAATAATAAGCAACAGTATGATTAGAAACGAAGACCATAAAATACCCAAGCACCACACTGACATAAATTAGTGAATAAACAGATGAGGGAAGGGGTCCATCTGCTCCTTACAAAAGAATTTAAAATAGTAAATGTGAACCGATTGAGGAAAATAGCAAATCACCATTAACACACCATAGCAACATCCACTGATGAATGCTAAAGGTAGTGGGCCAAGTTTAAGGGGCAACAGAATATCTGCATAGCCTTGATGGATCTCCCTAAAATATTTATTTATTTTAAATTTTTATTGATTGCTGATTTTAGACAGAGAGAAAAAGAGAGAGAGACATAGATTTGTTGTTCCACTTATTTGTGCATTCGTTGGTTGCTTCTTGTATGTGCCCTGACAAGGGACTGAACCCACAACCTTGGCGCATCAGGACCTCAACTACCCAGACAGGACAAAATATTAATTGCTGTGGTGGTTTTGACAGGTCTACAAATTCTTTGCTGCTGCTCCCTTCAGAAGACGGAGCTGAACTTCCCTCCCTTGAGTGTGAACTGGACCGAGAGTGGATTCTAATGAATAGACTACGGAACAGGAAAAACAGTAACTTCACACTGAGGCGGCCTGCAGACAACACCGTAAGCGGGTGACAAAGAGTCATACCCGCCCCCATGAGTGAGATGCAGTGACATCATGCTCCTCTGTGCTGTTCTACAACCCATTCCGATCATCAGAGGAACTCAGAGAAACACCCATCGGGGACATTCTAAGCGTTAACTGGCTACTGCTCTTCAGGACAGGGCAGGGCAGGGACTCCTGACAAAGGCGAGGAAGCATGGTGACTGGGTGAGGTGCCTCTCTGGGCAGCTCCTGGGAGACAGCGATGAGGGACCTGCTGGCCTCGGTCAGATCTGAGGTGTCTAACGATGAGCTGGGGGAGCGCTTAGCGTTGAGGACGCCCTGCGGCTGTGGAGGGCGCTCCCACAGGAGAGCGGGGCTGGGGGTCGGACGCTGCACTAGCTCACCTCCTCTGTCATCTAAAATTATTTCAAAATATAAGCTACACCATCTTTTAAGGTTCTTCACTGTGGTTACAGGTACATTTATACAAGCAGGTCCACTTCCTATTTATATGTTCCTGAGGGTGACTTTTTTCTTCTCTCTGAGAAAAGCAGCACTTATGGTAAGAATGGCACTTGGATTGCAGAGAAGCCGTGAGGGGACTAGGCAGGTAGGTGAGCTGCTCCAGGGCTGGTGAGCTGGCTGAGCGCCCCCACCCGGGCACAGCACCAGGACTTACCGCAGGCTTCGGGTCAACAAGGGACCACTGGACCTGAAGTGTGTGCAAGGCGTGGGGACAAGGACCAGCATTGATTGACTCACCAGGGCGTCTCTCCTCTGTGGCTTCAGCAGCTTCAGCTTGTGGGGCGTGGCGGCTGTGGGAGCTGTGGGAGTGAGGCAGCGGTTCAGCTGTGGTTCCTCCCGGGCTCTCCTCACCCACACACCGTGAGCATCACAGACGAACTCTGTGGACTCTCCTGGACTCCTCCCACGCCCATGGAGAACTCTGGGTTGGGATCAGGGTACCCGTGGGTGGCCCTTCTAGGCTTTGGACATGTCAGTCTCTCCCCTCAGCCGGTTCCATAAAACACTGCCCTCTCCCGAGAGGTCGGGTGTACAGGTGAGAAAGAGGAGGGGCAGGCACAGGCGGCGCTGGTACCTGCCCCGCGGTCCTAGCTGCACACTGAGGCTGACAGCAGTGACCTCTGACCCTCACAGCAGCTCTCATTGGTCACCAGGGAGGGTGGAAACTGAGAAAGAAACTGAGGCCTTCCCCAAGGTCATGTAGCTAGTTTATGGATGATTTGAGACTTGAACTTGGCCTTGAAAGTCAGACACACCTCACTTCAAAGCCAGGCTCCACTACTTGGCTCTCTGGGCTCACTTCCACCTTTCTTCAGGGAGGGCGCTCTCTACGCTGACTGAATGGGACATCACAGCGGCTCACTGTCCGGCCACGGCAGGGCTCTCTGCCCCCTTCCCCCCACATCCTCACTCGCTATGCCTCGCAGGCGCCATGCCCTTCCTCCTCTCCGCTTCCCCGTGACTGCTCAGCACCAGCCCAGGGCTCCACCTGTCCCTAGGGAACACCCTGGGAGCCCCAGCTGAGGGACAAAATGTTTCTTGCCTCGTTATTAAATTGTTCACCTGGGCAATCCTAGTACTTCCAACTATATTTCCAATTCTTTGAAGTATGAACTTCTCTTGAATTGGCCACAGTTATTTTCTCTCCTCCAGAAATACCCATCCTCCTCATTTATGTTCCTCTAAGTCACAACTGGAATCAAAGAATAAACTACCTTTTATTTTCAGAACAAATCCAAAGAAAGTTATATACCTGGCTTACCTCTTTAGAACAATCAAAGGGCCTCTTTCCCTTGATGAACCCCCTCCTGCCCCTCCCCTCTATGTGCAGAGCATGCTGGTAGTTGAAAGTGAAATCCACTGTGGAATCCATCTGTGGCTGTTAACTTGCCCCTCCCAGCTAAAGCCATGCTGGCCCAATGGACTCCCCCCACCCACCTCAGGGATGGGGCTCGGTTGTGACCAGAATCTCGGTGGGGTTCTCTGGACCGTAAGATCACAGATGTCATGTTCTCTACCGTCTCCTCTCCCTGTCCTGCTCCCACGTCACAGCCGGGCCCACTGCTGGACCAGCCCCGGTGCCTTCTGGTGGGAGGCACAGCGGCTTCCTACCTTTGGCAGGCACTTCGGGAGGAACGTCAGCCTTCTCCTTCCGTCTCTTTCCCTTCTTGGGCTGCAAGGGGGCCAAGCTGGTCATGCTGGTGACAGTCTCCCCTGAGCTGCAGGAGAAAAGGGTCCTGGTGAAGCAAAGGCAGCTTGTTCCAGGGAAAAGGGAAGGAAGCAAAAGTGCCCAAGGTTCCCTGTGTTCTTTGTACCCCGTGGATCTCACACTGAACTGGGATCGGTGCTCTTTGCTCATCTCCAGGGATATCTGGAGGTCGGCACTGACCCTGGGCTGAGATGGGATGAGATGAGCTAGTTAGTGACAATGTGTTGTTCAAAGTTCAAAAGTCCCTGGAGACATCAGGGCCAGCTGTCTACACTGCCTAGGGATGTATAGCTGGATGGTTTACACCGGGTTCCACGGGCTGCGCAGTCTGGCTTGGCTACATCACCAGTAGGGTGTGAAGATACCACTGGAACTTCTGCTTGAGTTCCCCCTGAAGCCAGGACGCCCTGCACATAGCTGTGTGGTTCACAAACTCAAACCCCAGCAGGTCCTGTACAAGTGAGCAGGACCTTGGGAGTGGCCCTGGGAGTGGCCCTGGGAGTCCCGAGGGTCCATCGCTGTTCATGTTCGCTCTGCTGCCACCACCTTCAGGAGGCTACGTGAGGTCACCCCGCGTGCTGTCTTCAATCACGGCGCGTCAGCTCCTTTCCAGGGTCCCCCAAAGTGACGGGGCTGATGAGCTACTGACATCGTCACTCAGGGAAAGGCACTTCGCACCCGTCATCTCGGTTTTCTTAGTGGTAATGTAAGGAAACCAAGATTACGCAGTAAGAAAGCCAAGATGACAGATGCTAAGTGACTTTCCCTGAGTGATGTTAGTAAGCAGCCAACCGAGAGCTGCGAACGCGAAATCTGTTCCTGATGCTGCAGGACTCTGCTGCCACCACCCTACCTTCAGGAGGCTACGTGAGGTCACCCCGCGTGCTGTCTTCAATCACGGCGCGTCAGCTCCTTTCCAGGGTCCCCCAAAGTGACGGGGCTGATGAGCTACTGACATCGTCACTCAGGGAAAGGCACTTAGCACCCGTCATCTCGGTTTTCTTAGTGGTAATGTAAGGAAACCAAGATTACGCAGTAAGAAAGCCAAGATGACAGATGCTAAGTGACTTTCCCTGAGTGATGTTAGTAAGCAGCCAACCGAGAGCTGCGAACGCGAAATCTGTTCCTGATGCTGCAGGTGGGGTGGGGTGGGTCCACATGCTTTCTGCAATGGCCGTCAGTCTTATTTCAAATGCATCCTATTGGCTCTAGCAACCCAGAGGGCAGCCCCTTATAGAAGCTCTGTCTTTGGTCGCATTGCCCAGCCAGGGAGGCACAGTCACTACGACAGGCTCTCTTCCTGATACATAGTTTCTAGAAATCCATAAGAATATGGCCGACTAATAATCAAAATGAAGGTGGTAAATAGCTTCATAGGTAAGAGGAAAGGCTCTTACATGAAAATATGCTAAAACTCGTGGAAGGGCCTGGCTGCGTGGCTCAGTGGTGAGCACCGGCCTATGGACCAGGACGTCACCATTCCGTTCCTGGTCAGGGCACATGCCCAGGTTGTGGGCTCGATCCCCAGTTGGGGTTGTGCAGGAGGCAGCCAATCAATGATTCTCTCTCATCATTGATGTTTCTATCTCTCTCCCTTCCTCTCTGAAATCAATAAAAACACATTTTTAAAAAATAAAAATAAAACTCATGAAAGGAACCCAAACGAAAACATAGTGCACTTCCTTGCTCCACATATCAGAAGAGCAATCATCAAATTTAAGGCAAAGCAGTTTCTGGCAAGGGTGTAGGAGTCAGGTGCTCAGAAGTACAGCTGGTGCAAATGTAAACCCTTCCTGGTGGGAAATACTTAGAAGTCACAATGTGCACTATCAGGTTTACAGAGGCTTCTACTTTTCTTTTTCTTTTTTAAGTATATGTATTTTTTTTTTATTTCAGAGAGGAAGAAAGATGGAGAGATAGAAACATCAATGATGAGAGAGAATCATTGATTGGCTGCCTCCTGCACAACCCCAACTGGGGATCGAGCCCACAACCTGGGCATGTGCTCGGGACCCTTCAGTCTGCAGGCCGACGCTCTATCTGCTGAGCCAAACCAGCTAGGGCAAGGCTTCTACTTTTTGACCTGGCAATTTCACCTCCAGGAATTTATTCTGTGGCTATTCTTGCACATGTATGAAAATGTATGTATGAGGCATTATTACAGTCCTGTTGGTAACAGCAACAAACTGAAAACAATCCACTGTCCCTCAGCAGGGGATTGGCTGAGGAATGTGGGGACTCCACAAATCCACACCTGGAGTCCTCTGTGGCTGTAAGGAGGAATGAAGAAGCCATTGTGCACTGATAAGAAAAGATACAATGCTAGGTGCTGGAAAATGTGTAAAATGTGATACTTTTTGAATAAAAATAGGGGACAATAAGACTATCTGTATTTCCATATGCATACATAAAGACACTCTGCAAGTATTCATATGGTTCCTTAGAATGGGGTGCTGAGGAATAAACAGAAGCAGGATAGGGAGAGGAATCACTATATATATACATATACTAGAGGCCTGATGCATGAAATTCATGCAAGGGGTTTGGCCCTCACAGCCACAGTTTTGTCTGGAAGGATGTCCAGTCTAATTAGCATATTGTGCTTTTATTATTATAGACTAGAGGCTCAGTGCATGAAATTCATGCATGGAGGAGGGGGTCCCTCAGCCCAGCCTGCACCCTCTCGCAATCCAAGACCCCTCGGGGGATGTCCGACTGCCGAATCCCTGTGGGATTGGACCTAAACTGGCAGTCAGACATCCCTCTCACAATCTGGGACTGCTGGCTCCTAACCACTTGTCTGCCTGCCTGCCTGATCACCCCTAACCGCTCACCTGCCTGCCTGATCAACCCCAACCGCCTCTGCCTCAGCCCCCACTGTGGCAGCTTCATCTGGAAAGACGTCTGGAATGATGTCCGTAAGGTCGTTCAGCTGTCTGGTCTACTTAGCATATTATGCTTTTATTATTATAGATACTTTTAAAAACTTTAACTTTTTCCCTGGCTGATACGCCTCAGTGGGTTAGGCATTTCTATTATAAGTTAATACATGTTCATGTTTTATTTTATTTATTTATGTATTTATTTGTTTTTTAGAGAGGGTGGAGGGAGGAGAGACAGAGAGAGAGACACACATTGATGTGAGAGAGACACATCAATTGGTTGCTTCCTCCATGTGCCCCAACCAAGGCTGGGGATTGAGCCTGCAACAGAGGTACATGCCCTTGACTGGGATGGAACCTGGGACCCTTCAGTCTGTGGGCTGATGCTCTATCCTCTGAGCCAAACCAGCTAGGTATGTTTATGTTTTAAAATGGTAATTATAGGCATTGAGAAAAAAGAAAATAAGTCTACCAGAACCAAAACACAACCTGCACAAATACCCAACACAAACCTTTATTTCCAGTCTTTTCCTCTTGTTGTGTTTTTCTTGTAGACTCCATTTAAAATACACACACACACACACACACACACACACACACACACACACACACACACCACATTATTGATTTCAGAGAGGAAGGGAGAGGAAGAAAGAGATAGAAACATCATGATGAGAGATAATCATTGATCAGCCGCCTCCTGCATGCCCCCTACCAGGGATTGATTGAGCCCACAACCTGGGCATGTGCCCTGACCAGGAATGGAATGGTGACCTCCTGGTTCATAGGTCGACACTCAACCACTGAGGCACACCAGCTGGGCTATAGACTTCATTCTTCAGAGAAGTTTTAGGTTCATAGCAAAATTGAGGGGAACATACAGAGATTTCCCCATACCCTTGCCCCCTACCCCGGATGCATAGCCTCCTCCTCTGTTATCAATATCCCCTACCCAAGTGGTACATTTGTTATCATTGATAAGACTACATTGACACATCATTATTACCTGAAGTACACAATTTACCTTAGGGTTTATTCTTGGTGCTGTACATCCTATGCGTTTAGATGAATAGTGTAATGTGTCCACTGTAGTGCCCTACAGAACAATTTCAGTGCCATAGAAACCCTCTGAGCTCCACCTCTTCCTCCCTCCCACCCCTCAACTCTTGGCAACCACTGGTCTATTTATTCTCTCCATAGTTTTGCCTTTTCCAGAATGCTGTATGGTTGGAATCCTACAGGATGTAGCCTTTTCAGATGGGCTTCTTTCATTTCGTAGCATGCATTTAAATTTCCTTCATATCTTTTCCTGGCTTGATAGCTCACTTCATTTTAGCCCTGAAAAATATCCCATGATCTGGATGTACTGGGCTTACTTATCCACTCACCTACTGAAGGGCTGCTTCCGAGTTTTGGCAAGTAAGGACAGAGTGACCATAAACATCATGCTCAGGTTTCTGGGTAGACGTAAGTTCTCAAACCTTCCTTGGTTTTTATACACCATTTTTTTATCGTATTATAATTCAATTTTGCACCCTTCTTTTTATTTATTCTACATCTCTTTTACTGTTACATCCTCATACTATTCCAGTGAGAAGATATACTATAGTTTACTTAGCCATCCCCTAACTTCTAAACTTCTGATTTGTTTCCCAGTTTGATATCTATATATATAAAACCCTAATATGCAAATAGACCAAACAGCAGAACAACTGAACAACCAAACAACCAAACAACTGGTCACTATGACATGAGCTGACCACCAGGGGGCGCACGCAGAACATGGCAGGCATCGTCTGCAGCGGGATGGTGAAGCAGATGAACGGGGGTGCCAGACCAAGGCAGGGCGCCGGTCGCTGTCATCAAGGGGAGGCTCTGGTGGTTACTGAAAATTCTTTGCTCCCACCTGCCACTATCCCACCCAGCGCTCGCACCTGCTGCCAGCACCAGCCCCACTTGCACATCCTGCTGGCACCCAGCACCAGGCCCGATTTCTTGGTGCTGTCAGTGGGTGTGAGTAGCGGCTGCAGGCCCCAATTGCCCTCAGGGTTTCTCCACCTCCCCCTGCTCCTGAGAGGTGATAAGGGCCAGCAGCCGCTGCTCACACCCACTGCCAGCACCAGCCCTG